CCAAGTTTTGATGATAATAATTGATGGTTCGAAAATGTGACCACTAGAATGTTAACAAGGTTTTCCATATTTGAGCGGTGTGACCTAGTTTTTCATCAAGATGACCCATATTCGAACTTGACTTAGAAATCATCAAAAACAAACTTTCAGACCAAATTTACAGGATAATTAAATGGATCAAAAACAGTAGCCACATAGGTGTGTAACAAGATTTTTCTATTTTTAGCTCCTGTGACCTAGTTTTTCATCCGAGATGACCAATGTTTCACTCATCCAAGCTATCACCTAGACAAAGCATCCTGACCAAGTTTGATGATGATTGATGCCAAAATGTGACCGCTAGAGTGTTAACAAGGTTTTTTTTCTAAATTTTTTAGCTCCGTGACCTACTTTTTTCAATCGAGATGACCCATTGCTTCGAACTCATCCGAGTTATTACCTAGACAAAACAATACTCAGACATGTGATGAAATATATATACATAAAAATGCTGCACGATAAAAGAAACGTTCGTAACGCCCCCTCCGTCCATTATTTCCTCTTTATGATATTTAAGCTAAAAATATTTGACACTTGTGAGAGATTTACTGAATTTCGAATAGAAATTTTACATTACTTTTGTATCAATAGCATATCTAATCCCTATTGATAATGAACACATATGACTTTATTCACGTGTACATGGACATAATCAATTTTAATAACAAAATTTTAATATGTAGCTACAAAGTAATTTAACAACAAAAACATAGTACTTAGTAATCACTTTAAAGTTAAAAAATACAGACGTCAACATCACAAAATATTGTTGATACTTATACATTTTGATGAAACATATAAAACGCTGCATGAATAGAAAAACGTTAGTAACGCACCTCAGTCGTTGACCTCAAACATATTCACAGACTAATAATACATTTTAAGTTTTGAAATATGAATACTCATATTCAATGTGTTTACATAAAATACTTCCTCTTTTAGATATTTTTATCGAAAATTAATTGAAGAGGAAAGAAATTATAGAGGTACATTTCATTACTATTAATTCAAAAAAGATATGTTAACTTCCTTCAACTGAAAGGGAGCCAGAAAGCTCCAGAAAGACACAAAATTATGAAGGAAATTAAACAAAATCATAGTCATTGTTATATTTGTTTAAACGTTTATATTTTTTCTTTTTCCATTTGATCTGAATTTACGAATTGATGATGTATTATTGTGAGATCTGTCTGGGAGAGATAGCCACCTGTCATACTCATGGAAATGAATTTGGCGTGATGTTGAATTATATGGTTTCAGTGGATTTGTTGATCTAAATGTTGCATATAGCTTTCCTTCAAATGTCCATGCTTTTTCAATTCTTTGTGTATCCTTCCACTAGAAGATGTTTCATGCTTAATATCTTAACTCCAGCTATGTATTTGTTTTTTTTCAAAGAAGATTTTTTAAGTTTTTGCTATATACATATAGGGAAAATCAATGACCCCCGGGGCGGGGCCAATTTTGACCCCAGGGCTTTCATATTTGAACAAACTTGGTAGACACTCATTAGAACATGTTTCATGCTAAATATCTTAGCTCTAGCTCTTTGAGTTCTTTAAAAGAAGATTTTTTAAGTTTTTACTATATGCATATAGGGAAAATTAAAGACCCCCGGGGCGGGGCCAATTTTGACCCAAGGGCTTTTATTTGAACAAACATGGTAGACACTCACTAGAAGATGTTTCATGCTTAATATCTTAACTCTAGCTTTTTGGGTTTTTTCAAAGAAGATTTTTTAAGTTTTTGCTATACACATATAAGGAAAATCAATGACCCCCGGGGCTGGGCCAATTTTGACCCCAGGGCTTATTTCAACAAACTTGGAAGACACCCATTAAAACATGTTTCATGCCAAAGATCTTAGCTCAAGCTCTTTGAGTTCTTTAAAAGAAGATATTTTAAGTTTTTACTATTTGCATATAGGGAAAATCAATGACCCCTGGGGCGGGGCCAATTTTGACCCCAGGACTTTTATTTGAACAAACTTGGTAGACACTCACTAGAAGATGTTTCATGCCAAATATCTAAGCTCTAGCTCTTTGGGTTCTTTAAAAGAAGATATTTTAAGTTTTTACTATATGCATATAGGGAAAATCAAAGACCCCCTGGGGCGGGGCCAATTTTGACCCCAGGGCTTTTATTTGAACAAACTTGGTAGACACTCGCTAGAAGATGTTTCATGCCAAATAACTAAGCTCTAGCTCTTAGGGTTTTTTAAAAGAAGATATTTAAAAGTTTTTTCTTTCGGTTGCCATGGCAACCAGAGTTCTGCATGGAATTAAATTCTTTGAACAATTTTTAAAGGTGACCATTAAAGGAACATTCCTGTGAAGTTTGGATGAAATTGGCTGAGTGGTTTATGAGGAGATGTCATTTAAAGTAAAAGTTTACGGACGGACGCCGGACGAAAAGCGATCACAAAAGCTCACCCTGTCACTTTGTGACAGGTGAGCTAAAAATGAGAAAGAATGATATATTTTACAACAATGTTGAAGATCCTGACATGGATTTCACAATCGATAATGTGATAAAAGGCTATTTCTTCCCCTAAGAGTTGTAAAAGTGCTGGTATAGATAAATTTATTCCGGAGATATTTATTAAATGCAAAACAATTTTAGCACCAATATTATGTAAATTGATTAATCATATTTTCAATTCAAATGAATAGTGGTGTAGTGGTATTATGGAAGGGTAATCTAAATGATGCGAACAATTACAGTGGTATCACCCTTACTTCTCAATATTGTTAGACATTAAATTACGTAAATGGGCCAAAGTTATGAAATATTGAATGATTTCCAGTATCGTTTTAGGAAAAGATAAAAGTACCACTGATTGCATTCTTGTTTTATGTTCAATTATTAATAAGATAATACGTCATTAAAAGAAAAAGGTATCATTTTTTTTGGTTTCAAAAATTTTTGTTATACAGAAAGGAATTGGTTTAAATTGTTTTGAATTGGGTATCATATAAATTTGTAAAAATTTTTTTACTAGTATGAAAAATTTGTGAAATCTTGTGAAGAGCAAATGGTTCCCTGAAAGATAATTTGAGGTTATAGGGCTTAAAAAAAGGGGAACCACTCTCACCTCTTTCATGTATTTTTTTTTCTTCGTTAATGTATGAAAAAAATTTTACAAAATAATAATTTATACATTTTTTATTAATATATACAAATATTTTTAGTTATTTGCGTACGATATAGTTTTAATTAAGAGGTTGTTGGGAGATTTGAACATCGGTTTACATTCTCTTCGCACTGGGACTAACCCTGGCGTTAATTATGTTCTAATCTCCAACAACCTCTTTTAATCTAAAACCAAACTTTCTCTAACCCTGGTATAACTTAATAATTTGTTTTTGTGTATAAAACTACATTTCCTTTTGATCTAAAGCACGCTTTAAACATGAAGTTGTCATCCGAAACGGTAAACCCGTAATTCGAAAATATCTTTTAATCATGCTTTATGGAGATTCTACTGACACACCCTTCTAAATAAAGATTGTATTACCGTGTCAGTACTGGTCAGTCTTGCTTTTTCTGATATACAAAGTAAAATTATTGTCGTAAAACTGAATATCCTTACAATGCAAATTACTTAACACATAAAACCTCAGAAAAACCTGAGTAAGCTATTAAAATCATTGATGGATCCCGAATGACTAGCACATCATTACAGTGCCTGTATTTTTCACATAAAGTTATTAAAACGTCTGAAATCCCACCAGTAGCTTAACCTATGAGAGCCGGACAAGATTTTTCTATTTATAGCTCTGACGGCCATTTTGTGCAGCGAAGCAGAATGTGCTGGTATTGTGCATAACTAGGGATGGTACTGAACTGATCACTCCTGTAAAGTTTGGTTGAAATCCCACTAGTAGTTTGACCTGTGAAGGCAGGACAAGATTTTCTATCTTAAGATCTGGCTGCCATTTTGTGCATTATTCCTGTAATTTAGTGATGTTGATCATTATTCCTGTAAAGTTGGTCGATTCTAACTCAAGCACTCAAAGAACAAATAACAACATAATGAAACAGTTTTTTGCACCTTCCCATAAGGTTTAATGACTCTATGTCAAATCCTTTTTGAGTTACATGCGACACAAGTTGAAAATTGCAAAAAATTTTCTAAGTCAAGGGCAATAACTCTAAAAATACTAAAAAAATCCAGACGAAAATACCCCAGGTGCCACAACTGCATATGCTGATCAATATTCCTGTAAAGTTTTCATGACTCTATGTCCAAAATCCTTTTTGAGTTACATGCGACACAAGTTGAAAATTGCAAAATTTTACTAAGTCAAGGGCAATAACTCTAAAATACTACATAAATCCAGACAAAAATACCCAGTGCACAAACTACACATGCTGATCAACATTCCTGTAAGTTTCATGACTCTAGGTCAAATTCTTTTTGAGTTACATGCGACACAAGTTGAAAATTGCAAAATTTTACTAAGTCAAGGGCAATGACTCTAAAAATACTAAAAATATCCAGAAGAAAATACCCAGGTGCACAACTACACATACTGATTAACATTCCTGTAAAGTTTTATGACTCTAGGTCAAATACTTTTTGAGTTACATGCGACACAAATTGAAAATTGCAAAATTTTACTAAGTCAAGGGCAATAACTCTAAAAATACTAAAAATATCCAGACGAAAATAAAAGGTGCACAACTACACATACTGATCAACATTTCTGTAAGGTTTCATGACTAGGTCAAATACTTTTTGAGTTACATGCGACACAAGTTGAAAATTGCAAAATTTTACTAAGTCAAGGGCATGGTAAAAGGGACAAGTTGCTATTAATTATTGAGTATTATTAAGTATGCTAGCTCAGGTGAGCTAAAAATTTATGACCAATCGTAAAGTTTCAGACAGCAAAATCAACATGACTTCTTTTTCATCTTTGAAAAAGTCAAGCTTGTAATGAGCAATAAAAGTTCAGTATGTTTGCAGGCAGCTTAAGTTCTCTTTAAAAGTTCTAAATATCAGGTATATAATATAGGTGAACAAATTATTTTACTTTTTTGTAAATTAAACACCAGATTGAATATTGTATGAGGACAAAGCTAAATCAATATTGTTTGAATTGTTTTTTTACAAACATATCAACATAACCAAAGGACACATTTAAAATGTCAGTCAGCATAACAAAATCCTGTCACAAAAGCATCTTCCAGATGGAATTAATAAACTTCATGAGTCTTATAAGCACCTGTTCATAATTCATTAAGTGTTTTTGTATGAAACATCTCTGGGTCTATATGGAATGTTTTTATTTTTCAAACTTCTGATGATTCCTGGTGGTAACCGGCCTGTCACAGACAGTGCATAGCATCCTTTCACAAATCGCTCTGAAATAAATTATAATAAAGCATTAACACGGGGAGGAACTTTACACGAAGGATGGAGTTCTTTATGATAGACTTGGTTCAGAGTTCTTGTGATAACTGTTCACGGAGTTTGTAGGAAAACATCTGTTATACTACAAAAACACTCGTCAAAAATGGTTATTTTCATCTTACCAAAATGAGTTTTAGGTGCTAAATTAAACTTTAATGATTAAGCTTGTCTTACATCTTGTACGTGCCGTGATTTAGCCCAAGGAACACACTTGCAATAACAGAAGTTATTATAAGAACTCTGTGACATTTCAGAGTTATCACAAGAACTCCGGGACATTTGAAAAATCGGCTATAAATCTGTTAGCCGGTGCTTTATGTTTGCAATTTTGCATTATAATTAGGTAATTATGTATGGAAAGGATGAAGACCAGAAATAAACAGGTCAATACTTCCCTTGCAGAAAATATATATGGTATTTAAAAAAGTCCCAGTATTTCCCGTTATGATCTAGAAAATTCCACGAATGTTAAAACCAGTCTTGGCTATTTCTAGTATGGCCTAGGAAAATACCAGTTACTGAAACTAGGCTATTTTTTCTGATAATTTTTTTTTTTTTAAACATATTTATACTCATCATTTTTTTCTAAGTTTTTTACTAGGAACTTTGTAATTTTTTTTCTGAGGATTTTTCTCAAGACTTAAAATTTTGCCAAAATTCCTAGTCTTAGGAGATACTTAGAATTTATCCTGTAGAAAAAAATCCTTAACATCTGTGCTAAAATTCCTTTGAATCTTACATAAATTCCTAAAGACTAGGAATTCTCTTGTGAAAGTAAACAAGTAGATAAGAAGGAAGACAATTAAAAAGGAAAATAAAAATGTTTCTTTCTTTTTTTTTAAATAAAACAAACATAGGGCCTACTGATCTAGATCTATTTAATAATATTTTTCTAGGATTACTATTATTATTTAGATTCTAATGAAATTTTAAAATCATTGACCTTAAATGGTCAACCTGCATTATGACAATTTTTATCATTGGCCATTTAATTAATAGATATTCATAATAGGAATATATAATCCAAAAAGAAAAACAAAAATGTAAACAGGCACTTCCAAGTAAATCAAAGACGTATTATTATAACCTTAAAAAAATCAATATTGACATTCGAAGTAGGTAATTTTTATCAGTTGTGTAGAGCTAGTTTTTAGCGCTGTCAAAATTGCATCCACTGATGTCATGCTTCAGTGCACAGACTGTGTGTATAAAAACAATTTTTATAACATTATACTTGCCTGGGACATTTTATATGGAGTGTGATTGAACATAATGTAGATCAATTAGGGTGATTAAGTGATTTATTGCATAGTTGAAAATCCAAAGTGGCAAAATGGACTTTTGTGCAGAATTTTTTCACGTGTCATATTTGTGCATTTCCAAATTTTTCACCTAGTCAAACCCCGAATCCCCGCGTCAATCGAGAGTCCTGAATTTAAGTAGGCTGACAGATATTAACCGATGATAACTTAGTCTACTTAACCAAGCGAAAACCTTAAAGATTATACTCGATAAAAATATCCGTATTTTACGCTAACCAAAAGCCGAGCATAATTTCATGACTATTGGATACGTGTACTGACTGTATACTGATATGTAGCAAACACACAATTGTTTGGAAACATACGTAGCTTTGTATGAAATTCCAAGCGCCTGTTGGCCTTAAAAGAAAAAATTTTTTTGAAATAAAATTCAACGATTAATTGAAAAATTACAAGTCATTGTAGGCGGCAAAAAAAAAACAGAACTCACGAAAATTTTGCGCGAATCAAGCACAGTTAGACGTTAGTACACATGTTTATTACGTGAACACAGGGTTTTATTGTGGGCTGGCAATATTCAAAGACGGCAGACACTTCGCTCATATCAAAGAAAAGTGAACTGATATTCGTCTCCCCAAAAAAACCTTACCGAGAAGGTGTAAATTCCTCAAAGCAAATTTCAAAAGGGAAGACCTTCAAAACTGCAATCGGTGAAATTTCACTGTGAGTATTATCATTAAAAGCACTGATTTTTTCCCCCAAACAGAGCCGGCGTGTTTATGGGAACCCCTAGAAAAAAGAAAAGCGAGAGATTATTTTAATTTACCCATTTTTCACTTCTAAAGCATTATTTTGTAACAATTTGCCGACTGTAACAATAGAAAAAATAATTGTTTTCCAGCTTATTCCTATTAAAGTTAAGATACTAAACCTTAAGGAAAAAAAATGCGTAAACGGACATTCTTTCACATATTTTCGCGACCTGTTTTTATTTATTTCTTTTTGAAACAGGAAAAATATAATAAAAATAAAAAACAAGGCATCGTTGAAGATGGTTGTGCTTCCCTGCAGGAAAATTTATTTGCTTATGCCCTCCAAAAGTTTAAAAAATTGTTTTGAAAAAAATGCATTGTTAGCGCAAGTTTTTTTTACCCCCCAGACCAGTTGTATTAGAATAAAAAAAAGTTTTTCATAAAGAAACAATATTTTTATATCCACCATTAATTTATGTAGATCTAGTTATATATTAGAATATGCAATAAACAAGATCAACAAGAAAAGATGATGTCAATAAGCCTACATCATGTCTGTATTTTAAAATAACACATTACTGACCTGTATTTTTAAATCACAATAAGATACCTCCAAAAATTTATTTGAAACAGAAATCCATGTTTTCTGTTTGTTTTGATTTGTATGTGGTGTTGTGATTTAATCTCTAGATTTGTGGCATGTATAGGGAATTATTGGACCACTAAAAAGTTGTCAAGGCCACCAAAATTGATATCGGTCAGTGGTCCAGCCCCAGGTGACAGCCTAGCTAAAATGGTTTTTGTCTTTTGACACTGCCCTAAGCCTATACTAGAGAATCTGAATACTGGTCCATTTAAAATAAATCCCACATATGATTTGCAAAGAACAAAAATAGCACAAAAATGACCGTCATACTTTTAAAGCACTAACCTGAAATACAATTGCCTTAATCTCGGCATTGAAATTTAAGATTTTTGAAATACTTGTCCGAATTTCCAGGTTTTTAATTTTATTCTACATATGATTTAACTTAATTTCTCGTTAAAAATTTTACACGGTCATTGGGCCCACCGGGGGCCAAAGTGCTAAATTCATGCACTTTGTAAACTGTTATTGTATTAGGGGGCAGGACGGTAGTGGGTTTGAACAAGATACTTTTGGTGGCCTCCACTTTAGTGGCGGGCATTTTAGATTACTTGTCCGTCTGTTCTCTTTTGGTCGGATTGTAACCAAAAAAGTTTTGACCTTTAGAGCATGGAAAACTTTAACAGGAATGTTGATCAGCTGTTGTAGTTAGTTGCCACCTGGTATTTTTGTCTGAATTTATATAAGTATTTTTAGGAGTTATTGCCCTTGACCTTAGTAAAATTTTGCAATTTTCAAACTTGTGTCCGCATGGTAACTCAAAATGGGTTTGACATTAGAGTCATGAAACTTTGCAGGAATGTTGATCAGGCATGTGAAGTTGTGCACTGGATATTTCGTGTGGATTTATTATTTTTAGAGTTATTAACCTTGACTTAGAAAATTTTTGCAATTTTTAATTGTCGCATGTAAATCAAAAAAAGGATTTGAACCTAAGTTCAATTAAGCCTTACAGGAAAAGGTCGGTCAGCATTATGTAGTTGTGCACCTGGGTTCCGGCTTGTGGATTTATCCGTATTTGTAGAGTTATTTCCCTTGAACTTTGTAAAAACCGGTTTCATTTATGTTTGTGTTATTTGTTCCTTTTGAGTTGTTGAGTGAGAATCAACCAACTTACAGAAATAATGATCAACATCACTAAATTACAGGAATAACAATGATAATAAATAATAATAAAAAAAATACACAGTATAATTTTCATAAGTTGACCTTTTTTGGTGAACTTCAAAAATTACATATGTGAAATAAATGAGCATAAAAACCGCCCTGGATTTTCACTTATCAAATTTCAAAAATATGTACATGACCAGTTTATAAACTTCAATAACTTTGTATATAACCAAAAAGCTACAAATCTGAGGGCCCAGAACAGACTGTGTCATAACACTTCCTTCAATGAAGGCCATTAAAAAAAAAAAATCAATAACATACAAACCCACTTACTGAAAAAATATGTGAGATTTTGTAAATATTTAAGACACAGGAAACCATTTTGTCAAGTTTGCAAATGATTTTACTCCGCTTGAACCAAGTGTGCATCCACTTCAAACGTCCTGCAAGTGATTTGTATTTATTTCGTATTCAAATATCTTGGTATATTTCCAAATATGTAGAGAAATGTATTTGTTTGATTCAGATAAAAATTGGGTACACAAGGCCACAAAGGGGGGAGTTCAACTAACTTGGGAATGATGGTTCAAAGCTGAGAAGAGTGAGAGCTTAAATCTATAAAACGGGTCAAAAACTTTTGATATAAGAACTGTCATAAATTCTTCAGTAATTGAAAGAGGGGGCAAGTTGGGTACAAAATGCCATGGAGCTAAATATACATGGAGAAGAAACTGTGATGTCACACAGTTAAATTCAGTATGTGTTCAGAATTGTGGCAGAATTGTGTCTTATAAGTTATTATATGTTGCGGAATTTCAGAGATTTGAGCATCCCAGACTTCCCGAAATTACGTCGGTCCGACGGACATGTCCGATAAATTTTGACAGGTCTGAAAAATTTTTTTTTCCCGGATGGTCCGACCCCGGCTTTTTCCAAAACCCGGGATGTATACAAAAGGGTTGTGCAAAAAGGTCCCCAAACCCTTTGGGAAAAACCCGAAAACCCTTCAAAGAGTGCGCAGAACGGGCAATAAAAGATGAAAAAAATTTAAGCCCAGAGCCCAAATTTAAATGAAAAATTTAAAGCAAACCAGTTTCTTTGGTTTTATGACGGGGAGGAATAAAAAGCGCTGTAGGGAATGGCCGGTTTAGGCGAAAAAATAAAAAACAAAAAGTGTCTTA